GGGGGGGGGGGGCCGGTGTTGTCGAGCATCTGGGGAGGGGGGGGGGGGGTTATAATAAATCACCCTCTGTCTGGAGCCTTGAGCAAAGCTTAAACCACATGGTCTGGCCGGGGACCATTGTCATGGAGTTTTCTGTCCTTCCCCTCTAATTACCAGGAGATTATCATGTTAACGAAATCATCTCCTGGGTCATTGGGCGGCTGCTGGGAAAGCATCACGGAACCAGCTGGGGAAGAAGAGCAGGCTGATTAGAAAAGGATCTAGGTGCAGCTATCCACATGCAAATACCCTGGGAAGCCTCATGGAGGCTTTTGGCTTCACAATGGTTACTGGAATAGCTGCTGCGCCAGTCCAGAGGGCAGGGTAGATGCCAGCATTGTGTTTCCATGGCGCTCCTGATGATGCCCATTGCTGGCCAGACCCAGCTCTCCTCTTCCCGGGCTGCAGGGCCCTGGCTGCATGGAAACTGGGCTTCTTCTGCACAGGGGCCAGGCAGGGGCCGTTGAGCCTATGCCCAGGCAGTACCCTCGAGCTGTGACCCCTCGGGGCTCCATGACTCACCACAGTCTATGGAACCCTCCTCCCCCACCACAGACCAGACGGATATCAGATCTGACATGACTTGGGTGCATAGACAGGCCCTGTGGGTTCACTTCTCTGGGTGGTGGAAAATGTCTTTTTGACCAACATGAGCTGGTCTGTGAACTCTTTAATTTTGGTAAACATTTCAAGCTGCCCAGGGCAAATAGCAAAACAAGAAAGTCAGACATTTCAATTTTTAGCACCATTTTTAGGGATGGAAAGCCCTTTCTTTAACAATCCTGTTTTGTCAAAGATCCTAGCAAAATGAAAGTGAGGGTAGGTGTGGGATATTTTTCTCATAAAATATGTTTTGAAAATGTTTCATCTTAAAATGTTCATAGACCTTTACCCCAAATTTGGAATAAAACAAAGAAACTTTACCTACTGTCAAGTTTTAAATGGAATGGCTGCCTTTTAATAAATAAATAAATAAATAAACTCTTATTTAGCACTGTTCCTCCCTGGAGCTCAAATCTATTAGTCTCTAAGATGTCACAGGACTCATTTTTGCAACACAGCTACCCCAAAGGAGGTTCATTATTCCCATTTTACAGCTGTGGAAACAGGCACAAGATTAAGTGACATGCCAAATGTCACCCCACAGGCAAGATGTATTTTCCCCCAAATACAAAACAAATAATTAAAAGAAAGTTTAGAAATTGTTCAATTTGTAATTTTCTATAACAGTAATGTGTTCACTTTGTTGTTACATTTTCTGCCTTTATAGGTTTGGATAACTTATGCACATAATGCAAACAGAAACTGACATTTTCAGGGCCTGGTTATGGTCCCAGGCTGGTTTGAAGGTGGCTTGGTTCTACTGCATTCCTTAGTTATTCCAAACATGCACCAGTGTGGGTTAGTTCAAAGTTAGGTCCTTAGAATTGCACAGCAAAGGCACTGCCAGGCATGGGGTGGAGACGCAGGATTTGCAGGGCTCTCCCGTGTGGGGAAAACAAACTTTCACCAAAGCCACTTGGGTGCCAGTATAATTGCATCTACACTGTGGCTTTTACCCCATGGAAGTGCCACAGAGAATCCCACTTTGATGTGACATTGCCAGGACAGCAGATGTTACTACTGCCACTCTGGCTTCACTTACCTTAGAACAGGGCCCAGTTGTTCATTGAAATCCATTGGGAGCTATCAGGGAGCTCAGGGTTTGATGTTGACCCTTGATTGTTGCATTGTTCTAATGGGTGGTTGCATCTCCCCTGTTCTCAAGAGGTGCTCGTGGGCACCTATGGAAAGCTGGCCCCTCACGCTCACTTGTAGCTCACAATGGAACTTCCCTGCTCCGGAAATCGAAGGAAGTGCTACTGGAAACGCCGCGGCCAGGCTGCTTTGTTTCCTGTTAGACAGAAACCCAGCCCTCCCAGAGGCCAGAGCAATCCCTGGTGTCACGAGGTGTGGGGCCCAGTCCTGGAGCCCCCTCAGGTGACCAGACTCGCCTTGGTGTCCTCGCCTGCAGGAAGGGCAGGCTGGGGAGGCGTCGGCCTTGTGGAAGTGACTCCTGGTCAGAACAGAACATTGCCCAGAGCAGGGCAGTTAATGCTTTTCATTTCCAGAGGGAGCTGGGTTTTGTAAACAGGGCTTGCATTTTGGGGACGCAATGCTACCCCCTAGCTCCCAAACTATGCACATGAGAGTGGGCAGGGTCATGTATCCTGATCTCCAGAAGACCCAGCCTGCAGTGGGCAGGATCCAGTTGTCCACAGAGCCAGTTCTGTGACCAAGATCAGGACAGCTCCCCCACACCCTGCCCATTGAAGACCTATTCACCTACTTTGCAGGGCTGTTGTGAGTTATTTATTGTGCAGCAAGTGCCACATGATGTGGCAGTCTTGCACACCACACACACATCTCTTTGCTTAGGGCATTCATTAAAGGTCAGCAGGCTTAACATGAAGGTTACTTTTTCTGCTTTACGTTTTGTTAAAAGATTTCCAACAATGTATAAAGCCTACTTGATCACTGTTTGAGTTAGAACAGGGTTGGCAAGAGATGAACCATGACAGAATTGCTTTCTCCGTTATCCATTTTAACTAGAAAACCTGCTAATCAGTGACAACTCAGCTGTCCTGTAATGTGGTTATTGGATCAATAAAATCAAGACCATCTAGAAAAGCAGAGCAAATACTCAGATCATATTGGAACAAAATAAAAAGCTTTTAGGAACAAAAGGTCAGAACAAAGTCAGCATGATGTTTCCCTGCCAAAATACCAGTCCTTTGAGACCTCTCTGCCTGGGTTACTTCCGTCCTCCACGCAGCTCTAGTACCACAAGAGAATACCGGCGTCTCATGGGAGTTCTAGTAGCTAACACGTAGCCAGCAAGGCTTGTGCTTCCACTGGACTTGCAAGGAGGAAAATCCAAGGTGTGCTGTGATGTAAGGTAGTACCCTGTCTCACTTTGATCACTTCACCAGGGAGCTATTTATCCAGGGATCAGACTAGGGGGAAAGGAGGTGGCACTTTTCCAGCCTTACCCATAAAATAAGCTGCATACATGTGAGTTGCCAAAATGAGAGGCATTGCTCCCAGCCAGGGAAGACACTCAAAGCAGTGTGGTCAGCTGGTGCCCGTGGACTCTTCGGGCTGGGCTCCTTCTTGATGGGGGTAATGAGATAAGTGGTGGCATCTCCCCAGCCATAACAGCTAAAGGCTGTGGCACAGACCCTTGAGGGCTTGAAGCCCCTAACTCCCATGATCTGAGGATCTGAGCCTGACTGATTCTTGAAATAAATGCTGGTATGTGGAAGAACAAGAAAGCCACTCCTGAGGCGTGTTGCTACAGCACGTGGGCATGGGCCAGTGGTCACCACGCAGCTATTGAGATGGGCAAACGCTGGTTTTCTACCCACGCAGTTTAAGGAAATGTGAGCGTCCCACCGGCTGACAGCCAGCAGCCCTGAATGCAAGCAGGAAGAGCCTCAAGGGCTAAAAGTACTTTACGGAGCTCCAGTATGACAACTAGCATGGCTACTTAGCATCTGCAGAGCAGACTGGAGCGGAGCTCTCCCAGCATGCCCCAGACTGCAGAGCAGTGAGGGACTCTCTGCTTTCACTGTTGCTTCCCTCCCCGGGGGACCCTCACAGTTTATCTTCACTGCAGTCATCCATGATCAATCCATTGGTAATTGATTTATTGTGTCTGCTAAGCCCTGATCAATCGACTTGGCACGACACCAGAATTAGCTTTGGCCGCAGAGGGGTGGGTTCAGTTTTTTTCTAACAACAGGAAACAAAGCAGCTTGGCTGCTGGGGAAGAGTTGCTGCAGCGTTTCCAATAACACTTCCTTTGATTTTCAGAGCTGGGAAGTTTCAGTGAGTGTGAGGGGCCAGCTTTTCCTAGGTGCCCAGCGGCTCCCCAAGAGAACAGTGGAGAAGCAGCCATCCACTAGAACAGTGGGAGGTGTTGGCTGCTGAGCACCTGACCTGAGTCAATGGCTACACTGCATCTGAAGGCGAAAGAATGAGTTGGGCATAGAAGTTCTTAGCATAGACGAGTTCTATCTAATTAACAAACGAGGGAAGTACAACCTGACCGGGGCTACTATAAGGCAGGTGCATAACTGGCTGGATAACCATGCCCAGGGAGTAGCCATCAATGATTCATAATCATGCTGGAAGGGCATAACAAGTGGGCTTCCGCAGAGGTCAGTTTTGGCACCTATTCTGTTGAATATCTTCATCAGCAATTTAGATGATGGCATAGAAAGTACACACACAGTTTGTGGAGGATACCCAGATGGGAGGGGTCACGAGTGCTCTGGAGGATCGGATTAAAGGTCTGGAAAACATGGTTTATGAGAGAAGATCGAAAGTACCTAAAACGTTGTTACAAGCAGGAGGGAGAAATTTTTTTCCCTAACCTCTGATGGCAAGACAAGAAGCAATGGCCTTAAATTGCAGCAATGAGGTTTGGGTTGGAAATTGGGATAAACTCCCTCCCTGTGAGGGTGGTGAAGCACTGGAATAAATTGCCCAGGGGAGTTGTACAATCTCTGTGACTGGAGATTTTTAAGAGCAGGTTAGACACCTGTCAGGGACGGTCTAGAACTCTAGATGGTGCAGGGGACTGGGCATGATGACCACTCAAAGTCTCTTCCTTCCAGTTCTTGGATTCTATGATTAAGGGCCAATATATCCTGGCTTCTTCGAAACCACACGCAGAATTCTCCATTGATTGCAATGAACATTTTTGACAACTTAAAGGTGGTTTAGGCCAGATCTACATTGGAAACATTTACTGGTCTAGTGAAGTTGATTAGGGAAGTAATTTTTTATTGCAATATTTCTACTCTATCAAAAGTCCTAGTATAGAGATAATTATGTCAGCATAAAAGTGTGTTTTCTGGGGTCACTTGTTTTGCTTGGCAAATCACTATAAGCTATTTACCTCTTTGTTCATATAAGCTGTGTATATAATAAGAGAGTTTGCTGGGATTGCTGCATTCGGAAACCTGTTCTTGTGTAGATCTGGCCTACGACCCGACATACTTGCGTCTTATAACCAGCTTAGCTATGTCAGCATGGATGTGAACACAAACCTCCAGACACAGATTTGAACTCAAAAATCCCAGCAGCTACATATAGAGAAGAGGACACGGCGGATGTCCTTCAGGGAGATGATGCACACTGGCAGAAAAATTCCCTCTTCTGGCATATGCTGTGTCAACAGTTAGGGTCTACCTGACATCAGTACTAGCCTCTGCTCTTTAGTGTAGGCCTTTGTCTGGTTGTAACTGTGATCTAACTGAGGCTAGTGTAAATCAGGAACCACTCAGTGACATCAGAGCAGCTGAAACCTCAGAATGAGATCACAAAGAGGCCCTGAACATTTGGTTTTCTATTGTAATTAATCACCTCATCTCTGCAACGAAAAGGACAAAAGCCCTCACCTGGAAATGTTGGGCTTTCGGTGGTTTTGCCAGGTGTCCTGGTTTGAACCGGACAGTCCAGTATTTGAGCTTTCTGTTTGGGAAACAAATTGAGAAAATAGAAATGTCCGGTATTTTCTAAATCAGATGGAATGCAGATTGTGATGTAATGTCAAGTGTGTCCGGTATTTTTGTTGAAACCATCTGGCAACCCTAGCTTTCAGAGTGTCTCAAAGAGTAACTGTGTCTAATGGCACCTGGCTGTCCAAAGAACGGCCACTGCCCTTAGTAGTGTAGGTTCTTCAGCAGGCACCACCCCAGAGGAAGTGGTGCTGGGTTCTCACTAACATATTCACGGAAATGCACATTTTTTCAAACACAGATCTGGGTCTGCCCCCGTCTCTGAACATGTATTTCTGTTGGCTCTCTTGGGCTATTTACGGATAAGACTTTCAAAGACCAGATACAGAATAGAGAGAGGGTAATTTTACTGATGTGCGTTACTGCCAGGAAGCACAGACAATTGATAGAGCACTGGGGTCAGACTCAGGAACCTAGGATTTCTTGCTAGGCACTACTGCCTATGCCTCAGTTTCCCCACACTTGTAATACATGGATTACATTGGCCTTTTCTGTGAGGCACATTGTGATGTATTGATGAAAAGGGCTAGGTGACAGCCAGGAGATGGTTAATTTATTATTATTATTATTATTATTAATAATAAACAGGCAATTTCATTTAACATTAGAGATGGTTGAAAAATATTTTTTTAATTCTGCTTTTTTATGGAAAATTTCAAAATGAAGATTTTCAAAAACATTCTTTAAATATTCTTCAGGTGATAAATAAACCTCTTGCTATCACTTTTTGTAACTTTTTGAAGTGGAGATGCAAGCTTTTAGAAAAGTGGAAGCAGCCCTTTTTCTCTAAATCTAACTGATATTTTAACAATAATCAAAAAGTCTGAAAAGTTTTTGTTTTGATTTTTTTCTTGTTGAAAGCTGAAATGTTATAACCAAAATACTTTGCTTCACACAAACTTTCATTTTGGTCTAAAAAGGTATTTTCTGTTGAAATAGTTCATGGGAATTATCTGAACTGGCATATGCTCAGCCCCTGGGATCATCCTCTGGAAGGTGGAGACTGGGGAGGGTTCCATAGACTGGTGAGTCACAGAGCCCAGAGGGGGCACAGCTCCAGGGTACTGCCTGGGCATAGGCTCAATGGCCCCTGTGCAGAAGAAGCCCAGTTTCCATGCAGCCAGGGCCCTGCAACCCAGGAAGAGGAGAGCTGGGTCTGGCCAGGAATGGGCATCATCAGGAGCGCCATGGAAACACAATGCTGGCATCTACCCTGCCCTCTGGACTGGCGCAGCAGCTATTCCAGTAACCATTGTGAAGCCAAAAGCCTCCATGAGGCTTCCCAGGGTATTTGCATGTGGATAGCTGCACCTAGATCCTTTTCTAATCAGCCTGCTCTTCTTCCCCAGCTGGTTCCGTGATGCTTTCCCAGCAGCCGCCCAATGACCCAGGAGATGATTTCGTTAACATGATAATCTCCTGGTAATTAGAGGGGAAGGACAGAAAACTCCATGACAATGGTCCCCGGCCAGACCATGTGGTTTAAGCTTTGCTCAAGGCTCCAGACAGAGGGTGATTTATTATAACCCCCCCCCCCTTCCAGAGATGCTAGCAAGCAGCTGCCTCCCATCCACCCTGAGAGGTAAGGAGGGGGGCAGGGAACTGGTAGCACTGTGTTTATGGGATGTTCCCAAGGCCAGGAAGGGAGTCCCTCCCAAGCCAGCTCAGAAGTTCAGGGGCATCCACTTTGGAGGTTAGACCAGTAGGTAAGACTGCCCTTGTAGGCACCAGGTGGGCCGTAGTGCCCCGGCCCAATGGAGGGGGGCAAATATGTAGTTTAAAGCTGTAATTCTGAATTGCTTTGTTTTGGTCATTTGATTCAGCGGAGCACCTTCTCCCCAGTTTCTGGCATTGGCAACAGATTCATGTCCGTGCTAACTCTTTATCAGCAAGAAAACCAACCAATAAAAAGCAGCTCCCTAATGCTCTCGTGCTGCTAGTCTCTAGCCCAGTGTAAAAGCACAAGTTGGCCTGAGGAAGAAGTTGTGTTTCTGGGCCTGGAGGAGAAGCAACCCACCAAGAATTACAACCAAACCACATGGAAGTGCCAGGCTGTGCTTGGCAATTAAATCAAACCAATTCCAAGTTACAAACATACAGCTGCAGTTACAAATGCTCAGGATATTTTTCCTGCAACTAATAATAATTCATCCTGGCTCCTAATGCGTTCAAACTGCAGAACCGCAGCAGGGGTAGACCCGGGACCCGGTACAAGTCCCAGCTCGCGCTGGGTCCCAGAGCGCTTCACTTCTGACTTCCCTCCCCTCCCATACCGTGGAGACAGTGCTGGGGGGAGCAGGCTTAAAAGCTTCTGCGTCCCACCCCCACCTTGCTGCCTTTGGTACAGAGGCCACAAGCAGCAGGTAGGAGAGAGAAGGGAGTAAGTATCAGAAAGTAGCTCCCCTCTTTGGAAGCCAGACATGTGGCATGGTAGCAGAGGCTGAGTGTCTACGCAACTAACGTATCTCTGATTTCCTACACTCAGGCTACCCTACATTGGGATCTCAGGATCTCGCCCTTCCACACACACCTCCCCCCCATAGAACAGCAAGCAACAATAACCTGAAGGAGCAGCTGCAAGTGAAGCAAACACATGCAGACACTTGATTCCGTTCGAGGCTGGCCATGTTTAGATGCTGCTCCGCCCTGTCATTCTAGTACCTGAACACCTGCCACTAAGCACTGCTCCTTGGTTAACTCTGTCAGCCATTCCAGGGCCTTGCTTTCACTAGGAAGGGCTCTGTAACTGGCACAGATACTTGATTTGCCTTTCAGGCCCTGTCCCATCACTGCTGGCTGTGAACACATTTCTGTGTTGTAGACTGGGATGTGGCAGGTACCACTGAACCCCTGCTGGAGCCTAGAACCAGCCCAGAGAATAGGACTGGAAGCTCTGGTTTTAATGCAGTGTATGTTTTTCAAAAAGCTTCACTGCTAAGAGAAACAACAACAACAACATGGCAAAAGACTCCCCAAGCTTCCTCCTCACGTCCAGGGGAACCGGTGAGGGACCACTGGCCAGAAGGTGCTCGTGTTCCAAGAATCCATCTCCCCAGAACGGCAGAGAAGTTGGCCAGTCAGAAACCCTGAGGCCTCCTGCTCCAGCAGATTAGCTCCCCTTTGCTAGCATGGTGAAGGTTGGAGATGGGAAGTGGAAAGGATACATAGACAAGAGAGATTGCAGGGAAAAAAATGAGGTAGCTGGAGAGGGCTGGAGCTGTGGTAGTTCCAGAATACTAGACAAGGGGGGAGGGGGAGGATGCCAATCATTCATTAACTTGGGTGACAAATTCACAGCAAAAAGGATCCTTGTGATCAGCTAGCTAGGCTGACCTCCTCCTGTACCGCACAGGCAGACCCTCACCCAGTGCCTAGGCCAGCCTGGTTACGTGCAGTTGAACAAGACATCCACTTCTTATAAACCCCAGATTTAGTACAGCTTGGAAAAATCCATAGTGAAATCTTGCCTTAAGCCTCCAGCACAGAATAAACACTTCTCCTGGGTGATGCTTTCTACCTTTCTTTTGACTAATTACAGAGAAGTTGAATGCCAATCTGTTATCAATGCAAGAACCAAAGTAAACTGACATTAGGAGCAGAGAATATCGGCAGCCTCACTCCCTTTCAATAAAACCAGTTGTATGTGATTGCAGTTATTTAACAAACATTCCTGTGTGACTTTAAAACCAGCAACCACGGTATTGCTCAATAACCCATGCTTTACATTACCGGGGAAATGGGCTTGCTTTGAAGTCTCTCCGCTTGCTTTATACAGTGCTGTTACAACTTTAAAGGAGCGAGTGGCTCAAACGCTACATACCAGGTAGCTTTGGAGGCTACAATGTGCTTAAAATGTGTACTACCCTCAACACAAAGCTTGCCTGTTGATTCTAGAACAGCCTGACAGGTGTGCAAAACAACTAGATAGAGGAAGTTTGGAGTTAAGATGAGCAGAATCCCATCAGTGCTCAGATCGCTAACCGCACATTCTGAATTGCTCTTGGATGGGCCGGAGCCAAAAGGGAGAGTAGCAGTAGAGACTGACTGTAGAAAAGCACTGGAGTGTTTGGTTAGCTTCAGGAACAAACACACAGCAGCATCAGCAGCGTCTAATACAGCAATCACTCTCTTTCAATCTATTCCTACTGGAGACAAAGGGAATTTTGCCATCGGTTTCAGTAGGCCCAGAAATAGGCCATGCCAATGGTTTCATGTTACAGCATGAGCACCACAGACTACTTACTGGGCCATCATGAATCAGGGAATGGTTCCTCTAGCACTGGCTCCCTCTCTCCCCAGGGGAGACCTGTGTACGTGCAGGGGTTTATGGTTGGTTTTTAAACGTCCGTACTGCTCTGTGTTTATATGAGTGAAGACAGATTGGAGCAGTGCACCTGTGGCTTAGGTTTGGGATGGCTCGGAGTTCCTTTGCCCCGGGGTCTGTCTCCTGCAGAGGCACTTTCTCCAAGTGATGGCAAGTCCCCATGGGCCAGAGGAACGGTGCTAATGACAGTGGTCTGTAGCCCAGATTGTTCGGCTCTGTATGGCTGTATGGACGTTACAGCCTTGTAGTAAAAGCTGCACACTAGCGGTTGAGCACGTCTCCAGTCCCAAGATTACATACGCTCACGGTTTGCAGCTCAGTAGAGGAGACCCCTTGATATGGAACAGCAGCATCTTGAGAACCAGCCCTATTGCTAGGGAGGGTCTGCAGCTCTGGAGGATGGCTCGTTTGGCCTGACTGTCATGCAGAATGCAAGCTGGTGATCCACATTTTGTTTCCTTTCGTTTTCCTTTATGTTACTCACAGGGGCACCATGGGAAGGCAGTGGATGTGCCTTTTCAATGGCCACGCGCCCACTCAGACTCTAGCGTGTAGAAAAACAGAGATGAAATATTAGTGGCTGAGTACCCAAACCCAGAGCACAGCATGAAAGAGGACTTGCTGCCCGAGCCAGAACAGCCCATTTAGTTTATTTAAGGAGCCCGTCACCATAACAGCAAGGCGTTGTCTTGCAAACACGGAAGAGCTCTAAATTCTACTTGGCCTGTAAGTGAGTGGCTGGTATTAACCACTACCCTTTTACCAAGGACAACCAACGCAAGCCATGTGGAAGTCACCGAACACAAGGGCTCTGCACTGGGCTGCAATACTACGTGGATAGAGACATGCAGGGAACCCCAAGGCTGCCACAGTGGGCGGCAAGGACCCCAGGCAGTGGATAACTTTGGAGCTATTGCAAAGGTCTGGACAGCACCAAGAAGCCAGTGCAATGAGCAAAGAGGCTCGCCAGGGATGTTTGCCCGCCCAGCAGGCAGTTGTCCTGAGTAGAACAGAGGGCACAGCACTGGGGGTGCCCACAAGAGGAAGGAAGGGGCTCCAGAGCTGGCGCACCCTGACTTGGTAATGCTGTTGCTGCCTCTGCCCCGCCAGGGCAACTCGCGGTCAGTTTGCCTTCATGCAGGACACTGGAGAGGTGGCGCTGGACATGCTGGGAAGGTGCTGCATCACTCACAATGCTGATATGGAGCCGTGAGCATCGCACCGCACACCCTCCCCCCGAGTGACTTTCCTGTACGGGTCACAGGAGAGTAGGCAAAACCAAAATGCTCTGAGGCCTTCCAGGGCGAGGAAAGGGGCAGACAGAGCCACATGCAGAGCCTGCCCTGAGCAAACCCCAGCCGGTGTGGGGGAGGTTGGCCTGCCCCCACTGCACAATCCTGCAGCCCCACCATCCATGCACTGTGGGGGTTAGCTTCCAGCAAGGACTGCAGGTTAGCCTCAGGGGATGAAATCAACATGCAGCACCCTAATGGAGATGGAACTGACCCATGGTGTCTCTGGGAAATGTGCAGTATGGTTTTCTATTCTGCTTCAAAAGTTGATGTTGAAGCAATGCTTGCACCTCCCTTGCCTTATTCCTAACCCCGCCCCATTGCCCTCTGTGCAGTGGGACACTGTCAGCACTCATGCAAACAGAAGATGGACAGGGCTAATGAAGACCAGCACCAGTTTCTATCAAAAGCTTAATCTTTGCTGAAAATATAGAAATCTGCTAGACAGACACAAATATTCTCTGATTTGGGCTTTGGTAAGAACATAAGGCTCAGAGGGCAAGAAGAATACAGCTTCCCACTGCACGGAGGACAATGCCAGCAGTGGCTCAGAGCCACCAAGACATTCAGGCTCACACCTCCATTGAAATCCATGGAGTTAGGCCCCTAGCTACTGTTCAGGATCTGCATGTAAGTGACTTGACCAAGGACACAACAGGAGCCTCGGAGAGCTGGGTATGGAACTCTCAGGTCACGTACAAGGTCACCCACTCACAGACCCAAACAGTTGCTTGCACTAGTTTTCTTTTAAGAGCCCTGGCAAAGGTAGGAGAGTCTATATGCAGTGTTCCCTTAACACTCCTGAACCTCACGACCCAGCAATAGGAGCTTGTCAGAGCTGGCGGCTCTGTCCTGGCTGCCTAGAACTAGCACCTCTCAGGCAGTGGAAGGAGGGGCAGGAGTTTCTGGCCTTATTTTGGGGACCAGGGGGACATGTGAGGTCATTTCTGCCAGTAACAGCTGGGGGGGTGTGGACTGAGCTTTGAGCCAAGTTACTTCTGCTCCTTTTTCAGGACTTGTACTCAAGCCAGGGCACTGAGTTATGTGACTGGCAGCCCTTTCTGGCTGAGGCTTAGCTCTAGTGGGGAAGTGCCGCAGGGTATCAGCCCGAAGATGGGTCCACTTTCCTGCTTTCCCACAAGCCCACAGCTGCAGTCTCAACATGCCGCTGTCCCTGCTCTGGGAATAGGAGCTGCTATTGCCTATGGAGAGGCTCCCAGCCTGTCTGCTAAGGAGGCTGCAAAAGAAATTGTAGAACTTCCTTCTCATTCACCACAGCTAAGTACCACGCAAGAGGATGTGGCTCTGGCAGGGCCGGGGCCAATGGCAAGACAGCACGGTGGCCATACCTGCTACCCTGTTAGAGAGAGAACCTACCTGACCCCCTCTAAACTAGAGACTAAGGGTGTTAAAATTTGTATCGAGTACATAATTAAGCGATAAGGGGCCCCCGCTGCAGCTCTGCAGTTTAAATGTAGTAGGAGCCCGCCACGCAGGCAGCCCGGCTCCTAATGCATTCAAACTGCAGAACCGCAGCGGGGGTAGATCCGGGACCCAGTACAAGTCCCAGCTCGCGCAGGGTCCCAGAGCACTTCCTGGTTCTAAGGTGCACTCACTCCTGGCCAGCCAGTAACCAAGTTTGGAGGCAGAGAGTATATAGCTGGGTGTGGGCTCAGGGAGATGCAATGGGAACCCCATTCAGTAGGAGACGCTGAAGAGTCACAGGTTCCCTTGTGCAGCTCAGCGTCACAGGCCTTCTGCCAAGTGGGACAAGCTCATACGCTGGCATGGAAAAGGCTACTCCAGGGTCACACTGGTTCAAGATTCAGACAGTCCTCAGAAGCAGCAAGAAGTGTTTCTGGTCCAGGCACAGTATCTCTCACTGCGCTGCAGGATTTGCCTCCTCACATCCTGGCAGCCAGCAGCTCTGCTCCAGAAGTCTGGAAGCTCTTGGGAAACGAGGCAAACTGCCCTTCATGTTGACATTTTCACCACATGATCCATTTTTAAATCAGAAAATGAGTTTTGAGTCAAGACTTCGGCTGCCAGTTGCAATCCTGCAAGTCCATACTTGTTCATGTGTTGTGGACAAGATTGTAAGATTACTCAGGAAATTATGGCCTTAGATCTGCAGTAATTAAACGGTATCCTTTTCCCAGCTTGGGGCAGATTAGCACTCTTAATATACTAACTCTTCAGGTAACACTCTGGGCATTAATTGAAGGATGAGGAAGGCTTCCTATCATATCATAGAATCTCTCTATAAAAGCACTACACCCTACTGGTTAAGTGTTTTAAGTATGAGCAAAGCAATTCAGAATAAATATTTCCGTCTTTCTGATCATTGGAATCATGGAAGTATTCATTTTCACCCTCAGCTGTTTCTTGATCAAGAATAAATTTACATACAAAACACTGCAGTTGAAGAATGTTAAGGTAGGAAAAATCCCTTAAAAGTTCTCTTGGTATTCTCATCCTGCAACCCCATGCCGAGGGTGTTGGAGCCTTCCCAAAAGTGCCCCCAAGCTGGAGCAGGGCCAAGGAGCCCCCTCACCCTGACCCTATTTTACATATGGGGAACTGAGGAATGGAGAGTAAACCCTAAACTGGCAAATGACAGTAATGTAGGTGCCCAGCCTTATTGTCCAGAGCATTATATAGCACTTTAGGGCCAGAGAAGAGCTGTCACTGACAGAAGCGGAGAGTTACATGGGCCCATGAACACGGATATACACCCAGTCCAATGGAGTCCTGGGCCATAACTGGGGCTCCTCCATATTCCTGGCCCCATGTCCAGCAAAGTCTGGGACTGGGTCTCGCTTGCTGCCCGTGGGCAATATGAAAGAGTCTGGAGGCCCCTCTCCGCCACCAGCAGCAGTACAGCATGGCTAGAGCGATTTCTTGCCCACTCTGTGCGTGCAGCTGTCATCACGTCCCTGCAGCCCCTGGATGGGAGTGGGGTGGTTTCTCCATGTGCTGATCCTGCCCCGAGCACCCTTGTGACCGCTGTGGGGGTGGGTTCCTGTGGGCAGATACATGAAACCCCTGCCTCTCCCCCACACAGGAAGTGCTGTTGGGGGGGGCTAGATAAGTGCTGTACCCCCATACCCTCCCTCCACACACATCTCCTGCCCTAGCCCAGAGCCTGCACCCTGCAACCACCCTGCACCCCAATCCTCTGCCCCAGTCTACAGCCTATATCCAGCACCCAAATTTCATCGCAGAGCTTGCACCTCAAACCTCTGCCCCACCCAAACTCCCTCCCAGAGCCTTAGGGGTGTGTGGGGGGGGAGGCCGACTCTGGGCATCACCAACATTTCCACAAACCTGCCCCTGCCCAGTGACTCGCAGTGCGGCTGAAAGTACTTAGTTTCTCTGCCAGTTAGGCTTCAGGTCGAAAACCCAGACAATTAAAACACAATTAAGAGCCATCAGTGAAAATTTAGTTTAAGCAATCTGACAGCATCGCATACCAATTCCATGGCAGAAGCAGGAATAGAATCCAGTTTTCTCCACGGGAGCAGACTTCCTACTCTCCATTGCCTCCTCCACCATACATGTTCTACCTTCTGAAGCCAATGAGACAGGTTTTTCAGACAACAGCCTCCTGAGTACCTAAGACGATTCATTCCCAGATCTCCTGTCAACCCGCCCATCCTATCATCCTTTCCCTGGCAGCTGGGCAAAGCCGCTGCAGAGACAGACCTGCTGAGCTCCTGCAGCCCTGTCTCACCATGGGGATGGTGCACACTCAATCCCATCAACACAGAGGAACATGCTCAGTGCAGACAGACCCCTCAGAGAACCTAGCTGAATATGTGCAAACAGATATTTCTCCATTGTTTATAACTTTGGTTATAATTTGGGTGAATTTTCACAAGAACTTCAAGAGGCAGATTTCTACTCCCTGCTACAATGCACGAAGGTCCTAGCGGCTCTCAGTGAAAAGGTTGGGGGAAAATGTAATATGGACAGAACCTGCTTTTCCCTGACCTTACTCTCAAACAGCTGGAATGTTTCAGCTGAAACTTTTTTTTAAAAGTCAATGTGAGGGAGACATCAGCATGAATGGCTGAAGTCTGGCAAGGTAATAAGTAACAAAGATCCCTGTCTCAATGGATGGAAGGGCAAGAATTCATCACTCTGTGCAAGTACTACATCCTAGCTATACAGTGTGTTCAGTCAGACCCTCTGCTCGGGGCCCAGCCATTCCTCTGTCAGCTCATTTTCCAGCACCCCCTGCTTGCAGATCAAACAGGAATCAGAGCTGTCAGCCACATGATGAGATTGGAACTGAAGGACATTTTTGAACACAAGAACACCATCTCCAAGAGGAAACGGTTTCAGGCTGTCACTAGCATTGCTTAGCCAGGTTCAGCATGGACTCACCTGCCTCTCTGAGGTAGCAGCAAGTGGCCAGAGGTCCCTAGCACTGGTATTTCTCACTGCATTATGAAGCACACCCTTCTCTTGTTCACAGGGGCCCCAAGGGAATGACTTGCTCCTCTTCATCTGTCCAAGTGCCTGTTTTTGTTCTATTTGGCAAGCATCTGTGGTGCAGCCCTGCCTCCTTGCTCTGATACCTGGCTTCCAGCTCCCTCCCAACTGCCTTTTCCACTCTAGCCCCCAGCTTTGGATCTCTCACCCTCACCACTCTCTGTGCTGGGTCATCTGGGGGGCTGCTTGGTCTCTTCATGCCCCAAAAGAGAAAAGGGACCCCTTTCTGGACCCCCGTTTAAGCAGGTGCCCTGGCCTACATCATGGCATGGGTGCAGCATCGCCACTAGCCCCAATTACTTCTCAGCAGCTGACAGACCTCACTATGTCCACAGTTCTGCTAGCTGCTTCTTGGCAAGCTCAGCAAATATATTTGCTCCTCCTGCCCTTCCTGCTGCTCTTCTTTGTTCAGTTTTCTTAACCCAGCAAAGTCAAAAGAATAGAACTAAGGTTTCCTTATTGTTTCCATGCTGAATCACTTCACATTCTAGTATAGTAGGGCCTGATGTGTGAACCTCTCCCAATTTGCCAGTTACATCTAAAACCTGCAACTGAGGAGGCCACTTTGATGTGCAAAGCCATACGCCAGCCTTTGCCTCAAGAAGGCAGAATTGTGCTGGGGTTTGATGGTGTCAGCTCTCTGCCTCACTATGTGTTTGCCTCACCACCAAACTCCTTGACACTCTGCAGGTACAAACCTTGCCTCGCAGGAGAACCTGAGTTCTCCAGTTCCCCAGAAATGTGTCTCTGTGGTAGCCAGTACCTCTTGCTGGGTTAGTTCACTGCCTTGAAAGAGAGAGAGCACATCCCAGACACAGAGTGACTTAGGACTCACTCCTTACTTCAGTATAATGAAGAATATTGATTAATCAAAGAACAGTGATCTAAGCGATACTAAGCAGGATACCAAAGAGGCAGATTCAGTTACACACAAAACCAAACCAGCTTCCTGGTGACTAAAACCTATATCTTAGCAAGTTATAATCTTTTCCTGAGCAGGTTTCTTACTTACCTTGTTACCGGTATCTCCAGACTGGAGGATCCAATGTTCACAGAATCAGAGGATGCTATTTCCTAACTGATGGGTAACTAGAATCCAAAATCCGTTGTTATTGCCTCATGACCCAGGAAGACCTTCTAGGGGTGTCCCCCCTGTGTGCTCACCAAACGGTTTCCCCAGCCACTTGTTTTAGCTTTGCTTACCCAATATGTACATTACTTTCACTGTCTGTGTCTTACAAAGACCATATAGATCGATCTCTCTCTCTCTCTCTCTCTCTCTATTCATGAGCAGGTTTTGTAAGAGATCTTATTCAATACACTTTTGTAGTACAATAGTGAACCCAACTAGTTGATTCAACGGTTTATTCTTTGAGGGTGCAGATCTCCCTGATTCTCCCCCTCTGGTGTCCAGACCCTGACTGCCACAACTCTCCTACTAGATTCCTAGGGCAGAAGGGATCAACATGGGTTATCTAATCTGGCCTCCTGGATAATACATGGCCAAGAACTTCCCCATAATAATTCTTAGAGCAGGCATTTTAGAAAAACATCCCAGACTGAAATCAAAATGGCCACCAATGGAGAATCTGCCACAACAGTTAGTAAATTGGTTAACCATTGGAACATTACAAATTTACACCTTAGTTCTAGCCTGACTTTGCCTATGTTCAACTTACAGCCATTGGATCATGTCGGGCTCTTCGGTATCCTGCAAGCAAAGGTTCCTGTAACCAGAGAAGGGAAAGACTTAATGCACTGAAACCTTATTCTGTTATTCTATTTTACCTATGATGATGTGCATTTTAGAAAGCCCTGAAGATGTACTTCTCTCAAATGGCCCATCTTACTGTAAAGCTATGGGGTTTAGTGGGTGAGAGTTTTGGGATGCCCAGACACAGTATTTTATTCAAATCAGAATCAAAAGGAAAGCGTAACTTTAATATTAATCAGTAAAAGTATAATTGCATTTGATAGAACAATGGCAAAGTCAACATCAACCTAATCCCATTATAAGGGCTTTATGAACAGCCTAATCCCAAGCAGCTCTTTTGTGGGCACTCATAAGTAGAAAACACCATTCCTCTGCTAGGCTGTGTCTAGACTGGCCAGTTTTTCCGGAAAATCAGCTGCTTTTCCGGAAAAACTTGCCAGCTGTCTACACTGGCCGCTTGAATTTCCGCAAAAGCAGTGACTTCCTACTGTAAGAAATCAGTGCTTTTTGCGGAAATACTATGCTGCTCCCGTTCAGGCAAAAGTCCTTTTGCGCAAAAGTGCCAGTGTAGACAGCTGAGATTTGTTTTGTGCAAAAAAGCCCCGATCACAAAAATGGCAATCGGGGCTTTTTTGCGCAAAAGCGCGTCTAGATTGGCCACGGACGCTTTTCCGCAAAAAGTGCTTTTGCGGAAAAGCATCCGTGCCAATCTAGACGCTCTTTTCCGAAAATGCTTTTAACGGAAAACTTTTCTGGAAAATCAATCCAGTCTAGACGTAGCCCTAGTGTTTGAATGAGACATTTTGGCTACCAGCACTAATAGCATTTGCTCAGATGTCCTCATCTGTCCAGCAGCAGCAGACGTATAGGATGGTTCATAACAAAATTGCAGAAGCAGCAGCCTGAGGGGTTATAGCTCACTTGTGAATGAGTTGGACACATCACCAAGATGGAACACTCCAGGCACTGGCTAAAGCAGTTTAGCATTACTGGAGAGAACTGTGGAGGAACAGGGTTTTTTTTTAAGTGTCTGTACAAGGAAGAGTCTGGATGCAGAGGCTTCCATACACCATGTAGAACTCTTTGAAGATGCTGGTGTACTAGAGCTCATCTGATTTAATTACTTTTTATTCAGGAAGTGGCAAGGATTCTTTAATGCTACCCACTGAATGGATTCATATAACTTTCACAAAATTCTACCAGGCTTAGCTCTGTCTGTGTTACTCTGAAGCCGAAAGAACTACTTGTGAAGCAATGGTAGCAGCTACAAGTAGGGTTGAAAGTTTTTTTTCTTCAGCAGATCCCCAGGTTCAATCAGTCTTGGAATATGTCATCTGTTACCAGCCCACTTTAAAGCCTTTTACTTTTGGTTTTCAACTCACCCTCCCTCCAAAAAAACCTTTATGAAATGCACCCATTTAGCCACTTACATTTAAAATAAAGGCTTTTAAAAGCATGGCTACCCCAAAGGGGAGGTGTCACAGAATGGAAATAGTTCTGATCTGTGAACTGTAATGGTTACCCTTACAGAAGTCTGGTCATTAACACTTCAACAGCACTTGAGATGTCAATGAGAGAGCACTAACTTCCAGTGCTGGACAGGACACACATGATAGTTTATTTTTTCCTTTCAGCTTCACATATGCAGCACCTTCCTCTTGTACGTGTCACTTAACAGAAATGCAATTCTTTGTTCCTGTCCCCCAAACACTCCACAGCTTCCCTCACCCCTTCCTATGATTCTCGCCTGGCTTACTATGTTTTGGTTAGTCATTTAACTGAGATGTTACTTTGCTTCAAATATAGATCAGACATACATGACCAACTTTATGCCCTCTCTTTGGGAACAAAACCATCACCACACAAGGAAGAGATTTAGACAGGCTACATATCAATAGCTCTACTGACAACAGCATAACAAGATTCTTCCCTCAGCCAGTAAGCGTGTGAAGGAACAATGATACAGTCTACTTTCTTTGCACACAATTCTGTTAAGATTGGCTATATTGACAGACATCTGGGGCATAGCCCTGGGAGAAAATTGATTTTACTGCAAGCACTTAACCTAGATTTATACATTGGTAGTTACAAATTTAGTCACAGATTTAGCTCCATTTCCACACACACCCTTTTCCATGAATTCCAGTATAAGCTGATCTATAACAGAAATCCTCTTTATAGTTTACAAAAAAATAATAAATGACTGGATTGTATGGAAACATTCTTAATGAATTACCAAATTCCAGAGTCCATTTTTAAGCAGCAAGTTTACATAAAAGGGTCTTGTCAAGGCAACCCACTCCCCCACACATCACTAGGCGCGCGCGCACACACACACACACACACACACACTTCACCAATCTTCCACTACAGCATAGGAATTGTTATGAAAGTGAAAGAACTAGAAATAGCCACAAACAGGAACTGCAGTATTGTGTGTATGGAGGCTAGCTATTTGCTGGCCCCAAGACAAACTACACACTCAGTCTAACTATAAAACTAACTCCTGTTGCTTAAACAAGAACAGAATCAGTTCCATGCAGAAAGACACTCAAATGCCCATTAGTATTTTTATCTGTGACTCTATGGCAGATGCCATCTGAGCTTAGCTTTTATGGTACAATCTTGGGATAATCTCCATGAACAGGCCCTGTTGGTGGTTTCATATTGCATGAGCTGACTTTAATCACCAGCTTAAATATACAGCAAACTTCCCTTCTCACTCTGTAGAAGAACAACTCATAAGAGCTTATGTTCGTGTCAATACCCTTCAGAAAAGCAGTTAACTTTTTTGGCAGTGCTTTCATTACAACTAAATTTTGTTCTGCAAGTTAATGTGAGAAAGTTACAGCAGCTTTCAAATAAACCCAACAGAATCTGTGGCCTTTACACTGACTCAGCCGTGCAATGGGTGTACATGTGAGTCAGGCCTAACCTCCTGAAAGACTGAGTCAAGTGAGGGTTTTTAGTGTCAACCTCCTTGTGTTGCCTTTCATTTCACTGAAACTTAAGACTTCTCAATATTGGGATCAGTTGTGTATTTATACTGTAAATCCAGGAAAACTGACTGAAATGAGAGCAAATAACTTCCCCTGACTTACTTAGTACCTCCTCCCCAACTGGGAGACTCCAGAAGGATTAGCCAGCATTATCCTCAGATGTCCCCAACTCTGAAGTCATTACCCAGAGTTTGTTATCTGGCCTGGTGATTTTCCTTAACTCAGCAGTGATGAAGGTTAAAATTCAAGTCACATCCACAGAGGGAATAATTCAGATAGCCAGCATTCACACTTCTGAATCTTACTTCCACATCTTAGGAACCAAGGAGTCCTCATTAAGACTCAGGAGAGGACACCATGAAGATATTTGAAGTGCTGGGGGAAAAAAAAAAAAAAATCAGAAAAGCTTAACACTAAGAAGAAACTTATCCACTACCTACTTTAATGCCCAGTAATTTCCAGTTTAAGCAGGGAAAAGAGAAGTTAATGGTATGTGTGGGACTGCAGCTAAACATTACAACTCATGACAGCTTGAAGTTTGCATGTTCAATTGAATTGCAAAATAATAAGTCAAACAGTAATTAACTGCCATTTATTGGATACAATTATAAATTCAGTGCTCTAAATGCAGTTTTCTTCATAGACTGAGCCACAATGAGAAGTACTATAGTGTCCAAAAGTCTTAGTTTACCTGGTAGAAAGTTAGAGAGAAGAATAATCAATCCTTTATTGTTCCTGAATGCCAAATACCTCCTAATACCACCTAATGTTTCTAGTGCACTTGACATTTTATACAACTAGAAGAGAAGACAGACAGTCCTCACAGTCAACGGCTCCACTTGAAAAAAAGTTCTTGAAGTAATATTTCTGACATCCAAGTAGTGACAGAAAAAAGACTGAATGAAAAAGCAATTCCTTCCAAAGGTAAGTAGTTAAATCAGATGATTTATTTTGCCCTCACCCTTTAAAGGTGCTTGTCTGATTTACAAGTGTTCCCATCCTCACACCCCCAGTTTGGACAAAACGCTGTCTCCTGCCAACACCACAAAGATAACAACCAGGCACTTTGTTCTACTTTTATTTTCACTTTCAGATAAAAACAAACCATCCTTCCTTTAAAAGAAAATAATTCATTAATTCGTGATTATAAAGTGCATTTTTCACCTTGAACTTTGTGTACAAAAACATTTTTAAAAAAGACAATCATGCAAACACAGCTTGACAAGGCACTTTCAGACATAAAAAAGACAGCAATGCCTCAGTTCCACATTCACAATGGCAAAAAGAAGAGTTTGAAAAGGAAAGCCCCAAGAAGTTACTTTAAAAAAAACAGATTCATCATTGATCAAAGAGTCAATTCCCAACACAATGTTTACACGTCAATGTGTAGGTTACAACTTTCACAGCTTTTTCCAATGCACTGCAGTTTGCACTGCTTCTATTGCCTGGTATGCTTGGGCCCCTTTGCTGTGTCGCCAGAAGAGGGAATCAAAGCACGCTCCCATCAGTAGCACTAGAGACTCACATCATTGTTGTGTTTTAAGGGGTTATGATTAGGACCTGAAAGTGTTAGAACATGCTGCCTGAAGATCAGCTTGCATCACCTACATGAGATTTTTTTAGACCATGTTAGAGTATTTTAGTGACACCATATCTTTACGTCTTTATCAAGTTAAACCCCTGACTCAGTCACTGCCCAGTTTTTTTACATCAAGATAACTATTTTAGGCCAAACCTGGATAAGTCTTTCCAAAAGAACTATATGGAGGCCATTACTCAACTTGTCAAACCAAAATTCAGGAAAGAGACTTTTCAAATTAGTGAATAAAGCCTGTGTAATCCATGTTTACATATACATAGTGTCTATGTCGTGACTGAATACAATAATGCTTTCCACAGCCCAATACATTGATGCAAGGTTCAAAGAGCTATGCCTTCTTCCAGTAAGTCATTGTTCTCACTTAAATGTCTAACAGAAGGTTGGGTACATCATCTCCTAAAATCATAGGACAGCGGAGAAGTATTTTGTACTGTAGCCTCCAGAATTACAGTGATTTTTTACAAGAAGTTTTAATTTTGGTTCTCCCCATGCCCTTTGCTTCTCCCCATGCCCTCCCACTACAAATACTGAGTATGTGTCAAAAATATATGAAATTTATGTTGTAGAAAAATAGACGCTCTTGAAATACTGAAACCCATTTGAATTGCTCCATTTAAGTATATGGAATAGATTATTATTCTGCTCCAATAGCAAGACATTAGACTAATGACTTCAGTGATTAATTTAGCTACATTCTCTGTGGCAAGACCTCCCATGATTGTCCTTTGTAATTCACCTCACCTCCAACACAAGCCATGGCACTCTTCCTCTACAGCAACAGAACTCCCTTAAAATAATGATGACATCCGATGGCCTTGAGAGATCCATTCTACACTTTGGGAATAAATCAATGGTTTCTTGGGCATACCTACAGTTTGTATAGAAATAGCATTGGTGGCCAATGTATGCACTTACAAGGTTAAAATTGTGATAGTAGCTAGAATGTCAATGCAAGATACAGATGTGACAGCTCAGTATGTAATTATAGTGCAACTCTGGTGTTCTACCAATCTAAGTGAACCCTTTCTAGCAGGAAAACAGTGAACAAAAAGCTACACATCCAATCTTGTGAGAGAAGCTATAGAAAAGACAAAGCATACTTGGATTAATACAAACTTTCAGAACTTTTTAAAAAGCTAGTGATAACGTTTTAGAACCTTTTGTAATTCAAGTCATTACTGTGATGTGATATACACACAAAAAACGTTCAGCCAAGGCACTCACACCCCGCTAAAAAGTTAGCCTCCCGAATAAACTGTTTCCTAGCAGCAGCAGCGAGGTCTGTTCATCAAATTTCAAACCCACTACACAAACAAAAGAATTCACAAACATGCAATGTACTTACTGTCCATGCAGAATCATGCATGAACCCTTTGGCACCAGGTTTCCTAACAGAATGAAAGCTCCTTTTACATTAGCACTAGTAGTAGGAGCTGCTGCACTACCAGGCACAGTAAGGCAGTTAACAGAGATATAGCTTGAGAGCAGAATGGTATTCTTTCAACATCTGCAAGATTATAAATTAAAAGAAAAAATTCCTCAGTGGTACTCCAAGTACTTCTAGGGCACTAGGATGGCTGGAAGACCTTCTGGGCATATTAATGGTACCAGACAAAGAGCTTTCCCTTCTATTAAAAATGGCATTTTAAAACATTTGATTAGTCAAAAGATTTAGCCCCAAATAAGGATACTACACTGTTTTAAAGGGGAAAAAATTATGCTCCTCAATATGGGCAATCCCTACGAATATATATTAAAAAAACCCCAAAACTTACAGATGAACTGGCTAAGTGACCAGTGACTAAGCATACCACAATCTTTCCATAAATACCGATGTCTCCGACTCTGGCATGAAGCAACGCTTCTAGTCACGGTTACTCTGTCACTTCTAGAAATCTCTTCATCTCTAACAGAAAGAATCCAGCACAATTATGAGGTCAGAGAGAAAAGGCCATTCACGTCCCCCTCTTGCCATAAGTGGGCTAGTTTAGCTTTGATATCTCCTGCCAAGTAGGAAATTATCTGTCATATAGCCTTGCAGCAAAGCCAACCTGCATAGCACCACAGAAATAGGAGAGCGTAGTTTAAAAAGCCTCCCTCTAAAATACTGACTCCCCTAACAGTAATGCGCAACACAGGAACAAGACAGTACTACATACCTAAGTGAACAATGCAAGCACTGAAGTAGTTAAGTGTTTAACTGGAGGAGATTAGCAGCATTACACAGAAGAGGACTAGCAGCACTGGACAGACACTCTAGTGAGGTCTCCCATTCTGTCCAACTGTCTCCAATCTTGGGGGTCATTATCATGATGCAAAAGACACTTGTTTAGCTACTATTAAAACCACTTGTGGTCACTGAACATTACAGTCATTTTGCTCTACCCTCGTGGGTCTTTTGCAAAGCCACAAAGTTTTATTTATCCAGCCCTTTGACAAACTTCCCATTCAGGCCAGTTCCCACACTTGCAGCAGGCACAGCAACAGATAGTGAATGAAGACTCAGTTCCTCCATTAGTAGTAAGGCCCTAGCTTCTCATACCCTGAATAGCTAGGCCACTCAGGAAACAAGCCATAGGAACACCTCGGACTTCCAAACTGGTCAAAAGCAATGCCACTGTCTGATCCAACCTGAGGCTGCGATACTTCCCGAGCTGATTTCAGTTCAGACTGTATGATCCTGTAATTTAGACCTCTGTTGTTGTCCCAAAAACCTTTCCCTTCACACTCATAATAGACTGCAAACTCAATTCTTTCATGGGATTGGATTCTCTCTGGCAAGCAGATGTCAAAGGAAAACGTGTCCTTGTCTGATCCTGCGTAAGTGTCCTTGACATACTGGCATGGATAATCTGTGAAGCTTTTCCAAGTGTCAAATGTCATCCTTATTCTCACAATCTTCTCAAAAGCAAGATTCTTAACCTTCACTGTGCCCACAATAGCTTTATCCTTCAGCATGCAGTTTTCCAGGCAGACAAAATCCGTCTGAAGGCGATTTCTTAAGTCCAAGTAGTCTGCAGAAGGCTGTACGAAATCCAAGACAAAAGTGTCCCTCTCTACCGTTGTCAGACCCACAATATTGTCTATTAATTCTGTGATGTTGAATGGAATATCTAATGGGTCATCAAACTCTGAGAACACTTTAACCATTGTCAGAGCCAAGCCTCTGCTGTCGGCAAAGGAAACCCTTTTTTTCACCCGATTTCCCCGGAGAGATGTAGCTGCCTCTCCAGGGTCACTCATCTCAGCCTTGTTCTGAATGCAGGGGCGCAGTGGTTGGTTTGGCTTTGGAGCTATTTTACAAGTAAATCTCTCTCTTCTCAAGGGTGGAGAACACAGATACAGCTGCATGGCTATGTCCACGGCCATTGCTGGTTTAGGAAGAAAGTAGTCCAGTATTCTGAAAGAAGGAGCGGGAAAAAGATCAGTTTTCCTTGCATAATTGTATGACCTGAAATGTAGCATAAGCAAGCAATAAAAAACTTAATATGCTGTGACATTCTCTCCTTACTGGAATGTTTGCTACATACAGCCAGCAGCTGAATAGTTTTATTCTAGAGCATTCCTTTCCCTTCTCCCCCCCTTCTCCCCCACAATAATGGGTTATCACCAATGACAAAGGTTAAAAGTAAAGCATACAGAGAAAGAAGAGTAAGCTGGGTTTTTATATTGCAGTTGACAGGTGGCAAAATACTAAACCTAAGTTTAGTGCTTTACTCCAACCCACCCCTTTAATGGCTTTGCTATATTACTGTTAAATGAACATTGGACATTAGTGTCAAATGTCAGCAATTTCACCAACTTAAATACAATTAAATGTATTTCGGCTGTCAGTTTGCTCCCCCAGCAAAGTCTACTTCATTGGGTAAATGTAGCTTCCTCTAAAAGTAGAAACAGGAACTGCATATGTCATCAGCAACAGGAACGGACATGACCTTGGGGCAGGGGAAAGAACCACAGCAGAACCGCAGACACTACATTTTATGATAATTTGAGGAGTTGTCATAAGAAATGACAAACACTGGTGTCATCCCGCAAACTTCATACTTCCCTCCTCAGCCTCTTCTGGCCTGGTTTGGAGCAGCCAATGTTCTGATGAACACTGGGGTTTGAGATGAATGCCTTACACGACATGATACTCAATTAGAGCTAGATCTACTGTTCTTGTGGCACTGGCCAAATGAGAAGATGAATGTGATACTAAGGTCTGATACACTCTCTCATGAGCTCCCGACAGTAAATCAGATGTTACTCAAGCATTCCTGTCCCACCCAATGTTACTTTATACACATTCATTTATCCATCATCACCCTGGCTATAAATACTCATTTTAAATGGGACGAGCCGTGACACTTTGGCAAGGGACTAACCAAGCAGCATAGCAGGGGAGTATTCTAGCCCAGTCCACAAGAAAGGCTAGCAGACCCAGCAGGATACATGCAGCTCCATAGTATAGACTTAACAGGCAATCAGGTTCAATTAAAACCACAGGGACCTTTGGCAAGCTAAACATGATATTTAAAAAACCAAACACTGCTCCCCAGAACCTCCTCTACTCAAGCCACTCCCCACTTGTGCAGTCTCCTGCTTGTTGGTTTTGTGCTTGCCAGTGCCCAGGGCCAGGGGCCCTGGTGAATGAACATTAAACCCCAAATTAATGCCACCTCCCTCAATCCAGGAGCTGGGTCACCTCAGCCCCCATGCTTGGTAGCACCCTGCTCATGAAGGCTGGCCCCACATAGTCTTCTGCATGGAAGCAAGTACACTACAGACTTCTTCCTTCTAGAACAGACCCCTGGCCTAGTCCAGAACAGGTCCTGGGGAATGCAAGGAAGTCCCAACCAGCCTGAAAACCAGTGACTACAAGCCCCTTATCCACCATTCAAAAACGAGGACTTGTTGACACCACCCCACTAAGCAAAAAGCATCTGGGGAGTGAGGGGGTCTTCTGCCAGGCATCCAGAGCGCATCCCTCCCACCTGGGCTGGGCCTCCTACCCAACATCCATTAGAGCCCTTCCCCTCCCATGATCTTCTGCCTGTGCAGCAAAACCCCCCTGCATAGGTAGCAACATCAGTAGTGGGGGGAGGCAACATTTAGGCACACATACAGAATACTCTACCAGGAGGCTGGTGATCTTTAATGGCCCCCTCTCCCAGACAGTGGCACGCATGTGACAGGACATTTGGGAAGGTAACCCCCACATACTATAAACAGTAGCAACCACCATCCTTCTGCTCCTCCCCCTCAATAGCACAAAGATCTCAGTACTGCAGCTGTATCTGCATCATTACACAGGGCACACTCAGAGGCTCTTCCCTGTAAACATCAGAACTGGGAACAATTGTGCACTAACAGCCTATTGCCTAGAGCTGAATGGTATACACAGGGCCAGAGTCCAACATGCCAGAGAAAGTGATTGTTCTCCAATGCCTGAAAAAAGCACAACCACCCACTGATTTTATTTAACATGTAATTTAAAACTAAAAACTTTTCCTTTAAAAATAAAAATATTTTATTGTCATCTCTCGTCTCTCCCAATCAAAAGCTATGGGCCACCCTCTAAATGAGACTGCAGCATTAGGGATGTTAAAATTAGATTAATCAACTAATTGAATAGTAAATGAAATTTCCATCGGCTATTCGATAAAGGCACCTCTGCTTTGAAATGTAACAAGAGCCCTCCAGGATGTTCCTACATTTCAAAGGTGGAACAGCTGCACCTAAATGTACAAAAGCCCCAGCAGGGGCTCTTGTACATTTCAAAGATTGAAACCACTCTGAGTCCCCCACTAACCTGAGGCTCCATGGGGCACTTCCACTTTGAAATGTACAAGGATCCCATGGACCTGGAGCTGGTAGAAATTGGCTTTTAAGCCGGCTCTCCCAGCACCCCTCCTCTTCTCCCCCCCCAGCCTCTTTCTGATGGTTACCTTAGTAACTGACAATGACAATACCCAGGCCAAGAGCTATGCTCCAAGTCCTTACAGAAAGAGGGTGAGGGGGCCTCTTGATAAGCATCCAGAGGGCATAGAAGTGTCCCAAGTATCACAAAACAGCATTAAACCATCTGTGTGTTCTCTCCTCTGCCTAGCTGTACATGGTCTTGCCAAGCCTCTACTCATACAAAGCTGCTATTTGTAGGTTATTTTATCCTGCAAAACGATACAGCCTAAAATTTTCACAACTGCCTGTCACCTGAACCAGTCTCAGACACATCACAGGGTCATGCTTATTATATTAACACTGCTCAAATATTTGAACTAATAATTGTGGCCTCAATGTCCCTGGCATAGCTGGAAAATGGAGGCTAGAATCTCTTTTTACTAAATAAAACAGCATCAAAAAGCTGTTTTGGGACATTCAGTGTAAGGGCATTTAGAAGTCAAACCTTGATGTACCCTATTTAGGCCATTTAAAGTCACAAGGCCATATCTATAGAACCAACTCCAATTTTCAATTATAACTTTATAACTCAGATGTGAATTTTTGCTCTGGCTTGACCTTCAGCACCAAGAATCCTGGGTGGAACTCTGCTGAACAACCTAAAAGGAATGTGGAAGGTTTTCATATAAGTCAGAGACTTTCAGAAAAGGTTAATGAACTGCCTCCAGTTTTAAAACAGCTGGATCTCTAAAAGCAATTTAGTGAATAGCTGTCATTGGAAAGATGTCCACAAACGCAGCTCTGGAACATGTAGGAAGTGTTCAGCTACAAGAAAGCAGAAAAAGTGTGTTTAAAGGGAAACTGGAAACTTCATGCCTCCTTTTTTAAAAAGACAAGTTTGAAGCTCTTTTATCCACTTTTCAACACCATCCCAACAGTTTCAAAACTAAATTGTCCTTCTAGTTTCATCCTTTCCTCAGCAAATACAGATTCCCTTTTCCCACTCCATCTTTTATGGAGCATAAGCAAACATGAGAACAAAATTGTTGATATCTATGTTTGTCAACAGCTTCTGATTATATTGGTACAGATCCAAAAATATGGTTTGTTCACCAGTGGGTTCTTCTGCTAGCTGTCTGCACAGACTAATTCAACATCAAACATTAGTACGCCTCTTGAAAGCAATAATCAACCTGAAGACAATTTAACTGGTATATTATATGCAGTCTTTTAGGACTGGAAGAGGGGACAGCTTGTTCTGAGTGAGAAAGTGTTATGCTAGTGCCACTTGGTAATTAGCTATCTTCTTTTGGATCAGGTATATACAAACAAGTTTTGATTGCATACCTATGCTGGCGAGGAATATGGAGAAAAAAAGCCAAAACCAAGCAAAACCACACACCCAGCCAAAGCTCTTGGGTAGACACAGCTACAAGGTGGCCTGATTTAAATCAAGTTTCCTACTAATACTTAACATATTTCTTCAAACAAGAGGGCAAATCTGATCACTAAAACATGTTAATTTATAGCTTAGTACAGTATTTTGCAGAGGGTACACTTTGTGTAAACTTAATTTTTATCTAAAAACTATTAATTTAGGAAATTGTTTCACACTTGCAATTGCAGCTGTCTCCTGAGTTACTGGCTGATGGCTGTCCTAAAACTTTTTTTATTTTTCAAATTTTATTACCTCTAATAGACCAATCTTAAGAACATTGAATGTCTTGTGTCCTCAACACTTCTACAACTAGCTCTCATCTTCTCCACTTCCACTGCCCTTTTGATGTAGATTTGATTCCAAGTTACCAAAAGAGCTAAGACTGCCCGTGCTTAGAGTGCACTTAATTTCAGAGTATGTCCCACTGAAAACAATTATAGAATGGGGTTCTTTTGGGAAAGGTGAGTTATGCTGAAATAAAATAGCATATAGACTTATGGCGTGACCATTATATTCTAAAATAAGAGGCATGTGTTATGTAATATAAAATAAGAAAGTGACACTCAGTGGCAACTCTAGATTTCTTTTACTGCAGCTTTCAATATAGTATACTTGGGTGATAGATTCTAAACCTAATTAGCCTATCCTTATGGCTTGTTTAATTAAACTTTTTTTTTCCCCCCTAGCAAAACTCAGCATAAACTGCTTGGGAATTTACTTGTTAAATCACACTTATACTAAAAGGCATAGAGGCAGCATGTCTTGTATTGCAAAGTTGAACCACATTATTCTTCAGACATATCCATGTCATTTTCACCCAATAAGCAGTTTTCCTTATGATGTTTCATTCTTACGGCTAAGCCCTGTGTCGTCATCTTCTATGGCTTACTCTTGACAGTTTCCTTTTTTACCCAGGGAACAAGTTTCTTCAAAAATATTCCCAGAGAGGGTCTTTCTTACGCCTAGAAGCCATGATGGTTTTTCTGTAGCAAAAGTGTGGGGGGAAGGGGGTACAGGAAGCTGTGTGTGCTGAATAGTGTCTTCCCTTTTCCTTTCTAGTCCACTCCAATGTTCCT